CACATTTTTCGCCACACAGCCTAAAATTTAAAATTTTAAGTTATTAACTTACATAGTATTAGAGTAAGAGTATAAATATCATGAGTATTAGTACATACTTGGTTACTATGAAACCAGCATCCATGGGCTGAAGCTGATGGAAAATGTCTAATCAACATTTCTCTTAATGCGGTTTCAAAGTCTGTTAATATAATCGTAGGCCTAAACTCAGGCAGTAAATTTACTTTTATAAAGTTTAGTACTGTATCATAAGCCTGGGAAGTCTTGCGTTCCATTAAGGCGTATACTATAGGAATACTCTAAAATAAAGTCTTATAGAATTTAACTTAATGCAATATTATAACACCATTATAACTTACATGGTTATTTACCATCACATGCATTATGAGTAATTGGTAAGACTTAGGTGTTGACGGAATGACCCGAAATGTAGCATCAACATGCATTTCCGTTACTTCCATTTCTAGAGCCTTCAGAATTAAACTTTTAGAAGCAAAAACTATTGAATTATTCCCAGATGTATCTTCTACACAACCTAGAGAACAAAATATTATTTTAATGAAATCAACAGTTGATTGTGTAGCATTTACAATATCTCTTGCTGCCCAAAGTATAGATAAACTGTCTATGTTTAACAATTTACATTAAAATCACAATAAATACCTTTATATATAACTTCACCACAACTTTGGTATCTTTCAAGGAGCCCATATTGAAATTGATCAGCTAGCTCTCTTAATGTTCCCGGCACAGTTGGCAACGAACGTCTCCTACTCCACCTCATATAACTTTCAGCTGATTTCCATGTATATTTGGTAGCAGATTCTGGGTTTCTAATGATAAAGCCCATTTTAATAAATATCAGTTATTGAAGAATTAAAACATTGTGGATTATCTAATAATTGGGTAGAAATAATTGATTTTATTAGACATTAATTTTATCAGGTAAAAATATTCATTGTTTAATGTTTTTAATTTTTTAATTTGTATTAGTTTATTCAAATTAATTTGTTTTGTATGCTTTCAACTTTTCCATTTCTTATTTATCATAATTAATATTTTTTTTATCTTAATTTCAATTTAACCTAATATTAAATATATATTATATATGTATATAATAAATATCAATTATAATTGTTATCAGAGGCGGTTTGAACAATTACATTTTACCGGGGCAGATAAATTTAAACCACCCACCTACCCTAAAAAAATTGTTCTATGGTTCTCAACAATTATTACCTATTTATTACTATTCAATTCTATTAAGTTTCATTTTACCAAACTACTGAGCACTGACCCACTGACCACCCACCCACCCACTCCAAATTTTTTTACCGGGGCACCGCCCCGGTAGAAGGTGCTTACAAGCCGCCTCTGATTGTTATTTAATATAGTCAAGGTCTTCTATGAGTGTTATACTATAAATTAATTAAATGCATAATATTTTTATGTATATAATATTATTACAATAATTGAATACTATTTAAAAACCAATATATACTATACATACTATATACCTCCCATGTATAGCAATTTAATTAATTAATCCAATAGAGGCCAATATGTACCACACTCATATATTAATGATACAGATATTTTACTGTATTGATTGATAATATATATGTATAAATATATAGATCAAAAATTGTTCATTATACCTATTAAACCTTAAATATATATATAGTACTTCTTCATATGTTAATACAGCTACTCACATGGCTCACATGTCTCCAGTGACATTTAAACTTATAATAGTATTTGTAAACGCATACATAAAAGCGTTATGGAGCATTGTAAATATTATATAGTACATATTATTTTGGTTTTGTATTGATACATGTACAGACAGCTGCATAATCCATGCACTACTTTTTTAACCTAATAATATCTGTTTTCTATTTTATTACCTACCTATTGTTTGACAAAGTATTTGCTTTTCAAAATAAATATAAAAATGTATAAATTGTTTTGAGATAATATTTAGACTAATCGATATGTCATACCCTCAAAAATATTATTCTCTATAATTTTTGTAAAACATCAAAAAAATGATTCTGTGTAAATGCGTTTTGCTATGTTGCGCGTGTGCCAGAGAGAGAAATGTGCTAACATCCTCTGAAGCAAAAAATATAAATTGATCTTACCGCCTGGCTTCATCCTCATAAATGGCGTTCAATGAAGTTTCTTCATTAATACTGCGTTGTTTCAAACTTTTCTTGAAACTATTCATGGCTTTAATACTTGGATTAGGTGCATGATTATGGTTTCTTACCAAATGTACATTATTGTCACCTGTGATTTTCATGGAACCCCGACACATGTACGTTGCTGCTTCTTTGCATTTGTAATAACTGTTATAGTAAATAAAAAAAACATAAGAAATGAACAAACTGTGCATTGATGAAACTCTAAGGTGTTTATAGGTAGATAGGTGTACCTTAACAAAATACTTTTAACTTACATTATGTTGTTTCTTTTTGAACCATTTTTAACATAAAAATAATTTTCATACTCCATGATGGTAAAAGTCAAGACACAGTAAACAAATTGTTGTAGAATAAGCACAGCTCGGTAACAACGAAGAAGCGGTAATGGCCGATATATGCCAATTGCCAATGGACATTGGACGGGTGATCGTTGAAAAATAAACACGATAGCCATTACTCAGAATATCTCTCCACAGACCGCAGTTGGGTTTTTTCCACTGCATCTTTATTAATATGTTCTATTATTAAAACTGATAGTGATAACGAGGGCTTCGAGTCCATCATCGACGTATGTATATTGTATATTGTCTAGGTATAAGACATATTATATACTTATCTATGGTATTAAAAAAAATTGACCTATAATAAATTCCAAATTAATCATATCACAATATCCATTAGGTACTTATAACGCGTTATACATCAACAACAAACCGTGATACTATCATGGATATATAATGCGATACTTTAGAAAGTTTCAAGTACCCACGAATAATATTGTACAATCACAACAAAAATACTAAAATAGTTATTTTAGGTTTTTTAATATGTAATTTCGTTTAAATTTGAATTTAAAATGACTATTCAAATAAACTGTGCTTATGTATTTTTAAGTTTTTTTGGTAACAGAATTAACTACTTGAAATCTTGTTTTTAATTTTCAATCGTTAGATATAAAAGTTGAACATTTTATAAATTTTTATCTACAAAATGATTATTCAATTTTAAATTTGATAAATGTTGTCTAAATTCGATCTTTAAATGTTTATAAAAAAATATTGTGCCCGTATTTTTAATATTTTTCAACTAATATTGTAAAAATATATCAGGAGCCTTGCATTAAATGTTTACACTTTTTGGCCCAATAGATAAAACTGTATTGATAATTATAGAAAAAAAAATGGAAAATGAAAATGTTTCTAAACAGTTCAAAACAAATCATAATATTTTGAAAATGTTATCGTGTATAGAAAATTCAAATATAAACAACTGGTGAAAATTTCATATATATACATTCATAATGAATGATTCATTTGTTTTAGAGTTAAACCAAAAACCAAAATCGATTTTGTGGAAAACCGATTTTGCGTAAAAATTCCCGTTTTTCCTTAATTTTTATGTTGTTTTTCCGGCGCTTGTGAAAACTATTGGGAATTTTAAAATTTGACATCCCGAACGCATCAACTAGATTCACTTTCCCAAACAACAAGATACTGTTTAAGAAAATCGAAGTAGTTTTACTGCCCCTAACCGTGATGACAGGCACAAAAAAAAAATAAAAAAAAACACACATCATTGTAAAATCAATATATTCATCACTCCGTTCAGAATCTAAAATGTGATTATACATAAATTATTTAGTTAATGTTTTAGAGGTACTAGCTGCTAAACGTAAATGGTATTTATTTATTTATTTTATTTAATATCGGTAAAGATTACTAGGCCTCACTGAGTTTAAACTCGTGTGGAGGCCTAGGAGTTATCTTATATACAACACATTTACATTTATAATTTTCTCCTTAAATACCTACTCATGTAGGTATGAATCAAGAAATTTTTTTAGATACAAATATAATTTGACCAGACCATAACTGGCATAGAATATACAGTGCATGATTAATAACTAGTTAGTTTATCATGTTACAGAGTAGGTACCTTATGTTATAGTACTAAATTTGGTATTTAGCTTTGAAAATAAAATAAGGTTAACTATACCTACATTCAAACTGTAAAAAATGTAGGTATATTAATTTTTTGGCCCTTGTAACATGATCATTGTACAAGATCTAAAGAATTATACATTTTAAAACTATATTTGGTCGGTGTAATTTTTGTTAAAACTGCGTTATTGTATACTGCCTATGCGTGCCCCTTAAAAAATATATTTAATATGCTGTCCAGATTTTTACGGTCCAGTTTTGTCCGGTCCAGATTTCTACGGAATTCAAATTTTTTATTTCCAGATTTCTACTGTCCAGATTTTTACAGTCCAGATTTCTACTGTCCATATTTTTACGGTCCAGTTTTGTCCGGTCCAGATTTTTACGGATTTCAAATTTTTTATTTCCAGATTTCTACTGTCCAGCTTTTTACAGTCCAGATTTCTACGGTCCAGTTTTAAACGTCCAGGTTTTTACATTCCAGGTTTTTACGTGGACCCATAATATATTATTATTATTCAGTCATTGTTATTTATTACAACCATAAATACATCAATACTTTAATGATTAATACCATGATATTTTTTTTAACCTGACTACTTAATTTTTCCTTTCTTTATTATGTTAATAGGGCATAATGTATTTAAATAACCCTTCTTGTAAAATATACTAAAATAATACATTTAAAATAAAATATAAATAAAATAAATTTAACAATATAATTTATTGGTTAAAAATATTTGTGGTAATATTGTCTGTTATATTTTATGTATCAAATTATATTATAATAGCTAGATTAATTCTTTATATATTTTTCATACATATAACCAACTACTTAAAAAATAAATACATAAATCAAACATTGTAGATATATAATATAGCTGCAATATTGTGTAAATATATAGGTATAATATTGTGAGAATATATAGCTGCAATATTGTGTAAATATATAGCTATAATATTGTGAGAATATATAGCTGCAATATTGTGNCTTGCGACGACACCGGGGCGTTGAGCAATTTGTCGATCAATGCAGTTGCGACCAATCGCGGGCGATGAAAACGCGACGATAACGTGGACCACGCAAGGTCATAATTATCAGCGGACACGGGTATATTGCGAATGGCGTCAGACGCAGAACCCTGCAGACATCCGATCAAATGTTGCATTTTATCGATTTTCGGTAAGTCGGTCCTATCACCAACAAGCGCGGAGAACCGATCGCGGAACGTCGGCCAATAATTGAAATCGCCATTGAACGACGGTAATGGAATTTCGGGTAGTCTAGATGCTGACTTGAATAGTGTGTCGCTGTTCTGATTTCGCTCGCCATGGCCGCGCTTAGTATTCTTAAAATCGTCGAAATTACCCTGCATGGCGATTGCCGTAGTGGCGTTGATAATAGAGAGCACTTCGGCTGGCAACTCAGCCGAATATTCGCTTTCGGCATTTATTTCCAATAGACTGTCTAGCACATCACTGTCCGCTGCTTCGAATTGTGCCCATAAATCGTCCAGAGTCGCCGCCGCTATATGCAATTCATCCATAAGACCAGGATCGTCCTTAACGCGTTTAGCGAGGCTGTTAACTGACCGAATTTTCTTGACCGCGATAGTGCGTTTTGTGTCAGCTCTAGTAATTAAACGCCTGACGCGTTTGATTTCCTTTTCTTCGGCAGTCTCGACCACGTTGACCGTTGGTATAATATTATGATGTAGTCGTAAAGGAAACAAATAGCAATAGACGGTCGAAAACCAACAATTCGCTTACCCAATACAAATTAAATAGATACCTGTTACAAATCAGATATAACAGTAACTGTACTAATATATGAATAATAAAATGATAAATACCTATAAGTGAATAATAACTCAATGTTACGAATGCGACACCACCGTCGACTTAAATAAATTATTTTAATTAGAAATCTATCGCTAACGATAATACGAATAATAGAAAAGGTCACTCGTTAATTGAATACTCGAAATCAAAACGCTAATGTAATAATAATGAAAACCACGCTCTGCTACCAGATGATTGCGCCGGATAGTTCTTACGCAGTATATTGGCAGTGGACTATTCCGACTCGCGCAGATTTCGGGAAGGTGACCTTATTAATTCAATAATAACAACTCGTCCTTTTAAGGCGCTTGGCGCACAATACATATAATAATACAAACGTAATAATAATATAACAATACGCTTCAGATGCGTGATCATACAAAAAAAAAATGATACATATAATACTAATGGATATCGATTGATAATACAAAAGAAAACACACACGACGGTTATAACAATCGTCGTGTTAACAACTAGTGATAACGATATGGGGGTGATACGTCTGACCTGGTAGATGACTGGTACTTTGCTCCACACGACGTACTTCTCCGTTGGCTGACACTTCCAAAACGAAAAACCGAACAGGTCACTCAGTGGGTTTGACAGTATACACTATTACGACTTACGAGAATGATATCCCAATGGACGGGTCCTTTCCGTGCAATTGACACGATTTAACAATGCGCCGGAAAAGTAAAAACATAGGTACGACCGGAACGGACGGGCATAATGTACATAGCCACGTGGGTACAAACGAACACCAAATTGCGGCGACACGGCATACAACAACGACTATGTAAGTCCACGATCTTAACACAGCGACGATATTAGAGCAAAAAAGGAATGTATCAACGGCTCGTAGTATCGCGCGTGAAAAGTGACGACCGTACGCACATAACAACAACGCACCCAACAGCGTGGCGAAAAAACGTAATAAAAAGGACGCACACGGTTAAACAGGAAAAGGCACAACGTAGCGTGCTATATATGCGAATGCGACAGACATCAGACAGCATTACGGAACCGGCATAACGGTCTTGTTACCAACGGCGCTACGCACCAAGAGGCAAGAGCGCGCTCCGATGCTGGTGATCGCAACGCATGCGCGGCAGGAATCGTCATTTGATAGGCATGGCGCGCTCTGGTATTGTCTGGTCCGAACAATATCGCTTGTAAAAATATCTGATGTATAATTATTATTTTATAGTTATTCACCAAATCTGAAATGAGGCTCATGTCACCCTTGTCGCCGCCTCAATACTCGAGTATGTCTCCAATGTACGATGATAATGATTTCGACCCTTCGCAGGCACAGGTAATTTATAACTTCATTGAAATAATTTAAGTATTAAATGTTATTATTTATAGGAAGCTGAAGAGGATAGGGCATTCAGAGAATGTTTAAAGGGCATTAACCCTACACAGGCGAACCCGACCACTAAGCCGAAGGTAATATACACATCATATAATTATTATTATTTAAATATTTAATACAAGTTTATTTTAGTCACAGAATGTAGAGATGGATCCTCCGATGTTACCACCGAGCATATTCGGCATTCACGAAGATCCGATTACATACGGAACACTCAGAGTCAGACCATCATATGTAATTTATATAATCATTTTTTAAATAAAAACATTATTTAATTGTAATTTTTTTTTTTCAGCCTATCGATAATATTGAGGATCTAAACTGGGTTGAGCAGTCGTGTGACGTAAACGATGGACCAGATTTTTTCATGGCACCATCCCAATTTATTACGCCACCTACATGAACATTCACCATGCATCCAACACCGTTTCGCAAAGTTAAGCGACAACTATTTTAATTTTTTGTACAATGTGTAAAATAAAATCAAGCGTGATACTTAAAACAAGTTTTTTTCATTTATTAGAAATAAGACACAATAATTACAAGGTATAAAATATTTACAAGGTATAAAAATAATTACAAGGTTTACAATTTTCTAACATCGCCACTAAACGGGTTATAAGTTATAATCTGGTCATGTAATATTAAGCAATGTGCTGCAGTTTTTTCTGGAATAACTGTATCCTTTTCAAATTCAATACGTATAGATCTGCGGTCGTCGACTTCACATTATCGTTTTGACGTGATAAATCAACTACGACGATTGGAACGTAGTTTTGAAAAATGTGTTTTGATGATAATGGCTCGCAATAGTCTCTCTCATAATACGATTTTTGAAAGTCCGTATAGGCCTTATACAAAATACTAGTTGTATTATTTTTAAAATCTGCACGAAAGTCTTCGTACGGATACACTTCAGAATTTAAGTGAACCTTAAGGTTATTTAGTTGACAGTGATCGTTTTCAATATTTTTTTTGCGATCAGTTTGTAATCTGATAAATATAAAATTTGCGGAAATGATTATTTTGGAAGTTATAGCCTCCCAAAGTTAACGATTTTACGATTATACACATGCGCGCAACACTACTATTTTACTTATAGTAGTATAGTAGTATATACTTTTATTATTTTTAACTTTTTTATTAATTTTAAACCATTATCCTCTAGCTCAAGCTGTTTAAAATCAAATAAATTTAGATGCTTACTAACTGCCATCTTAAAAGCTTGTGTAAGTTCTACATGCGACAACGCGACATACATTATAGTATCGTAAAATGATTATTATAATAACAAAACAATTATATCGAGCACAGATAATTAATATCCGATGGTATACCCAATTAAATAACTATATTCCTATTCATATTATAATTATGTTATTAAATATATCTTTTATAGATGACCAAATTACCTATAGTTAATTACCTACAGTAAGCAGGGCAGTGATTAAACAGTTTGCGGCACTCGTCGCTGCGCTCCTCGGCGCCGTCGCTCCGCTCCGCAAATCGAAAATATCCCCCGAGTCCCGACTTGCTATGCAACACCACCTTAAGTAGGTTACAGGGTAAGTTATGTCGTAGTATATGGGCAGTGTTACACAGTTAAAGTATAAAAACAATTAAAAAAGTCCTCCGGTCGCCAAACTCTAGGTCCTCGCGCGGCATTAGTAGTGTTGCGCGCATGCGTATAAACGTAAAATCGTTAACTTTGGGAGGCTTTAACTTCCAAAATAATAATTTCCGCAAATTTTTTTTTGCACCATCGTTCTTAACTCGTCAAAACAATCCTTTTAAAAAAAAAAAATTCCAAAAAAAAGGTGCCCGGTAATCTAGACTTATACCAAATCTCCCATAGTGGCTTAGTCGTACTGTAACGTGGTCGGGGAAGACCAGTTAAATATAAGATATTCAGGGAGGAGTTGTGTATCCTTTGAATATATTTATCCGTAGCTCGGGAGCAGGAATGTTGGGATCTTATAGTTACAAATGAATACAGATTGATTTAAATTGTTATTAAAATATAATTTAATTACATATAATTTACTTACAACTAATTTATTGGCAGCCCGGAGTTCCTATTCACGTGACGGTGTCGCGCAAAACCGAGAACTGGCGTACCCTTACATAATATTCGCATTTGGCCGTAGCCTTACAATGGTATCATAACAGGAGGGGCTCAATATATCTAGTCAGCATATTCTATATATTATGTTTATAAGGTATATAATAATATATATGTACATGTATATATGTAGGCTATACGTATATAGGTGACAAAGTATAAGTGACGATGTCACCATCGTTACAGTACCTCTACCTAGAATTTTAAAAATGTAAAATGTCTGATTCCGATACTGAAACATTTGACGTTAGTACCTACTTAAAAAATTGGTCTTTAATTTAATTATCAATACTATTTTTATTCATACTACTGATTTGTAATAAATGTTTTGATGTGTATTCCAACACTTCAATTTATACATGCAACCAATAAATGTTTATAAGTTTGATACAGCTAAATTGGAAATTCAACTTAGGTTATATTTTAGAAATATTAGTTGTAGGATTTCAAATTTTAAAAATCACAAACATTTTCAAATTAAATTTGTTTTCATGAACCGTAAGCACTTACCAACTGTCAAATAATCATTATTATTATCTATACTAGACAATTATATGAATTGCACATTATAATTATTGAAATGTTCAGGTATATAGTTGATGACATTTGCAAAGAAAAAATATACCTACACATTTGTTAAAAAAAAAGAAACCTTGGAAGAAATTGATTTATTTCCAATGTAGTATTCATTGTTTATACATCTTCGGTTTATTGTAACACGTTTTAACTTTTACACTTGTAAAAAAAAGCGTTTCATGCACTCAAAATGTATAAATGTAATGAAATAATTTTACACACAAAGTTACTGGACCATATTAGATATTGTAAGTACAGTAGTTGTAGTAATGGAATAATAGTAATAAAAAAATGTAGGTAGATACTTAAATATTTAAAAATATCTTATATTTTAATAAAATATTTCTGAAATCCTTTATTCTTACTTCTTACATATGGAGGGAATTATATTTCAAGTTGTTCCATATACCTAAATGAATAAAGTAAATAGGATTTGAAAGTGATTTGGCCTGAGTGGTTTTACGACTTTGTGTTACAAGCTGTATTACATTAGTGATGTAACGAAGACCTTCGTTGTCATCCATACATACCCATTTGAAGACTTATTTATTTTTTATTGTCGTTTTGGGATTTTGGCCGCTCGTCAGTGATTATTCTTCCATGAAATCTGCTTTAGAGCTTAAATGGGAATTTTCAATTATATTTAAGATAATTTTTAATGGTATCTTGAGGATATTGAGTATTATTTTAGTATATAACATTTGTGTCCAATTATAAAAATTGTTCTACTAAATTGCAAGATCGATTAATCGTCATCTGAAATTGTAAGAAATAGAATGAATGCAATATCACCCGTGAAATAGTTTTTAATTTCATAATATATTACGTGTCCATAAAAAATTCCATACCTATTCATTTTATTAATTTGTTTGAAAGAAATCTGCAAGTTCCATAAATTAAGTAATAAATCAGTCGATCATCAATTTTTTATTTTCATATAGAGGACGGTTGATAGATTCATTCCACTCATGTTTTTTTTTTTTTGCAAAAAGAGGGCAAGCAAGTAAGGGCTAAGAATATATTTTTGAATTTGTAATCTTTGATATTGTGGTTTTATTCGTCGAGTACCCTAAATTTTTTAAGTTTAATAAACTATTAATGTAATATTGTAACATTAGTTATATACTTATACATGTACCTATTTTAATAATATTAGTTCTACTCGTATGAACTATGATAAAATAAAAATTTAAAATTATAGCACACCATAATAATAATAATATAGTACTATTGTCTATTAATATAAGTTAGTTGATAGGTATACATATATTTAAATTAGAATACTATACAATTACTTTTATTATGATAGTTAATACTTAATATTAGTATCAACAATTTTAGTATAGTAAATCATAATGAAGAATGCTTTAAGTTGAGTAATAATATTATTTTCTGATTTGTATTTAACCATTGTAATATTTTATGCACAAATAGTTAAGACTTTAATTAATAAATTCTCAAACATTATATTATTGTTATAGATCATGAATAAGAAACGTTCAGTTTTATATAATTGTATTCAAAATTAATTTTGATTGAATAATAATTAATGTTTAATTATGTCTTAGCTAAAAAATTAATTTCATTTTTAATAGTTCCGATTTTCATACCTTGTAAATTTGTTATGATGTTAATAAAATAATAAATCATTTTTTTGTTTTATGTTTTTCTAGGTTAGGTTTTTTATGCTTTTGGTTTTATTCAAAAAGTTTAAATGTACCTACTACCTACATTTGACTTCAGCATAAATCTGTATTTACTTCAAATGAATAAAGGTTTAAAAATACACATACGTTAAAAAATCTTAGGCTCCTACTGTACAGACGTACAGTTAACATTGAAATTTAACACAGGACGGAAGCATAACTTCTTATTAATTTGGTAAGTTTTTGTTTATGTGATAAAAGTTTTGAAATAAAGGTTTGCCTTTTTTAGTTCTTTTAAATGTTGTTTTTATATATGTTCATGAAACTAAAAATTAGTTTTATATGACCCATGTTGGTTTGTTTTATGATGAATGTTCAAGGTGATATAATTAATACACGTTAAATAGTCGTATATTATATNTGAAGATGAACTTACTTTTTACTTGCAAGGAAACATTTACTATATAATCGTACTTATCACTTTTATTGATCGTTTAGGTCATAACTCATCACTTGTAGCAATATATTTTTATTATTTTGCAATAGTTATTAAAAATGTTTTTCAAAATGAAATGTTATACAATTGCAATGTATATTTACAATACGGTATACAGAAAACGGGTTCTTTGAAATATTGAATGTCATTGGCATTTTTTTATTTTTGGTAAAAGAACATCGAACGTGCACAACGATGGGTATAAACGTCCGCAAACACCACATGACGTAATTTATGTAAATTCTATACTAATGTTAAAAAAAAGTAGAAAAAAGAGATTGAATATAAATTTGCTATAAATATAATATTACAGAGTACGAAGGGAAGGACGTATATGTGAAAACGTTTCTTTCTGTAATGTGTGTATATATATATATATAATTTTATATAACATTGTTTGTGTTTTTAAATTACAATGCCAATAATGTCAAGATAATAATTGTTCAACATATAATCCTTTATTTTAGATTCTGTAAGGAGCCATGCACGTATCTATAGATTTTACAATGATGGGTTTTTTTGTGACTCTCGTCTCCAAGCGAAACAGAACAAATTGTTCAATTTTTATCTTTGAGGATGGATTCTGATAGAAAATTGGATCATGTTCAAAAGTAATAAATTTTTAGTACCGGTCAAAAAAATATTTGAATGCATTTGAAATTTTTTTTTTCATTTAATGCATGTTATAATATTTGTATTTGTGTAAAAAAGGTTGAAAAATAACTTTATACTATTTTACTACGGTTTCCTTAAAATATTTGAATAGTACATCTATGGCATATACTTAATATTAATATAGGATTATACAGTAAAGAACCCTAATATAAATAGGGCAACTTAGTGTAATTTAACATCCAAATTAATATCTGATATTTCCAATTTATTTAGAAAGAGTAGTTTTTGCATTAATCTAATATTTAGAAATTTTTTTGTATTGCAATTATTTTTTGTTCTCAAACAAACACTAAACAAATCCAAGTCATTAATACCAATTAATTTAGAAATTAATCCTGGAAGTTTGAAGTGGAGACGTTGCTAATTAATATTTATGGTAAACCTCCTAAAATAGTTTTTAGTCTATTACATAGTATTATAACTGAACATTTTATATTTGAACTCTCGAGTAAATGACGAACTTTGAAGTTTTAATAATATTATAATCTACGTCATAGGAAAGGGCTCTTAAACAATTGCGTTTAACTATAGATAACTGTACAACATTGTAAAATGATTAATAAATTAGTGGTTAGGTACTGTTAAAAGTAAGCTGTAGACCAGTTGGTTTCAGAATGTTTTCCATCACAGCTCATTATTATTAGTTATTTTAAGTTCGGTACATTTTGGATAAACATTGTCTACTTTTGAAAATAAGTACTTTAGGATAGAGAAACACATGTTAAATTTAGACTGCATCTTTCAGATTTCTAAGACATGTATTTGAATGTATTGATGGAGTGATTTTACTTATTTTTTGATTTTTCAGAAAAATAAACATGCATACATAAATATATTCATGAAACTATTCAACTTCAAATATTTTCAATGTAGTTATGAATTTAAAAATATAAAATATCTGAAAATATAAATA